TTCAAGTATGTCTGACAGTGTCATTAAAGGATGTTTAAAGTGATCTTGAATGCATGGCCGTTGCCCAGAAGTTTACCCATTAAAATAAATAATTTGTTTTCTTTTGATCAACTGATGGAAACACTGAATATGTCCACCATTATTTGTTATAACAGCATGGAAGTACTTTAATGACCAGTTCTGGAGCATTCACAGATACTGCAATCAATTATTTCAAACCTATGGCACCTCACCATATAGCAGTGTGTGCAGCGCAAGGAATTTACTGATCAGCCTGGTTTAGAAGTGCCGAGACTCAGTGCATACATTGTAGCATTCTTTTTGGCAAGAAAATAGTATTTCAGCTTCCATTAGTGAAAAGACTGCAAGAAAGAAATTCATTAAATAGTCTACTATTTTACTGCTCGTGAAAATAATTTTTTAGTCTTCTGTACGTATTAAAAAAAAATCAGTAGTTAGGATATATGAGAATTTTATTATTTTATAAATGTTGTTCTTAGAAACAGATCACAGAAGAGTCATAGTCCCACTTGGCTCTAAATAGCTACAATTCTTTAAGAAAAAGAGGTTTCTTAACACTCCTGCTTTAAGAAAAAAAGAACTAAGAGAATACATAAATGCATCAATTATAGAGAAAATATTTTGTTGTCAAGTCATGAACACTTGAATATTTCTCCTAGAATGGATCATGTTAATCCAACCATCAATTAAATAAAGATTTCCATTTCAACTCAGCTCTTTCACCTCAGTTTTGTGCAAACAGAGCTCTAGTGAAAGTTGTATGTAGATGAAACATAGGCACCAAAGAAGAGGATTCACCAAGTAAATAACTCGCACAAAAGTGTTTTCGCACTGACAGGAGAGTATGTTACAGAAAGAAAATAGTTTGTGTTTTAGTATTTAATAAATCGTCACTTGATATGAAAAAATTTGATGAGAGAATCACTAAGCAACAGAACAAAATATGCCTTCATCCAAAAAAAGGTATTTGTTGGACCCATGCTCATAAGAGAGCAAACAGTGGGAGCTATCACCAGGCACTAGGTTAGTTTAGAAGATAACCAACTCTGAAGCTCATCAGCACTGAGTTCAGGCAAGCATTAATTCAGTCAACATCACTGTTCACTGAAGAACGAACAAAGACAGGTTCTATGTGAAATAAGAAAGAGATGAAGTCTGGAAGTTCACACTTTTCAGAATGTGACTGATTTTTTTGCTGTACTTTTTAAAAAGCATCCACTCACAGTATTATCAGCATAATGCAGAGCTTACTGGCAGCTAAAAAGGTTCATTTTGGCTTTTATAAAATGTATACACACCACTGAAGAACAGATGCACTCTGACTTTTTATCTTACTAAAGAAAATAGAAGGTACAAACCAAGATAGTTTGCATCTGTTAATGCAGTGATTTTACTAAGTTCCTTGCCAATTTTAAACCAGAAGAGATAAGAATATATTGTACTACAACATTACCCATTTTAAAGGCATCCGATTAATAAGTTTTCTTTGTTGCAGATGCTGGATGAAAACTTTGTTTTTTAAAGCCATTAGAGCAGGAATCCTCACCTCATCCTAACTATCATCACTGTTGCAGTCAAAAAAAAAAGTTAGGAACATTCACCATTGAATGAATTATTGAATTTAGTTAGCAGTTCAGTTCATTCTTTGATTACTGTTAGAGGGGAAAATAATCACTTTATTATTCATCCACAGAAATTTTACAAAAATACAACACAGTTATTCAAGTTGAGAAGGAAATTGTGTCCCAGTGACACAGAGCTTGTGCCTCACTGTGTTCCTATGCAGAGGTGCAAGGTACAAAGCTACGATAATTGTTATCCAGTTCCCTCAAAACCAGGAGCCTGTAGTACATCAAAAGGTCTGACAAGTAGGGATTAGTAGCTAGATCAAAAGGCTAGACATCAACAACTTAAAAGAATGCAGTTACTACATAGCAAGAAACACTTCTGTAAGTACATCAGAGGGAATTTCAATGCAAGCAACTAAGGCAGCACGTATGTGTTGGAGAACACCTTGGCAATAAAAAGGAAGAATCCAGTAGCCCAGGCCAGCGAGTAGAAATGAGCGTGCACAGTAAAAACAGGAGTGAAATCATTACAACACTTCCAGCATTCCATCAAACTTGCTACATTCTCTCTGGAGCAGAAACTTGTGCATTATCCTCTGTGACAAAATGTCCATTATAATGGACCCCCAGTGAGAGGATTTGGGCTGTGACAGATTAAAAAGAACTATATGTACTTAGCGGTGCAAAGCCTGTTTAAATATTGTGACGGGTTTCTGACAACTCCAGAGAGCCAGAGACTAGAGGGAGATAGAACCGGTGAGATTAACCATTTTCACAGTCTGATTATTTCTAAGTAACACAGACTGCAAAATATTTCAACTTTTTTTTATAAGTTTGCCATACAGCAAAACTTCGCAAAATTTCACCAGCAGCCTGTGCAGCTCTGGCTAGCTTTGAGTCCACTGCATTGTAAGCTATTCCCGGCTACTGGCCAACAGCATCACTGCCTGTGCTGTCTTTTTCAGGACAATCCCTGTGCATCACCTTTCTGTTTGATGATACTGGCTGCTTTACTAAAGGGATTACGCAGACTGTTCTTCAGAGATTGAGAAGAAACCTGTAGATTGGGATTGTCCCAGCAAGAATAATTTTTATCAATGCATATTGGACTTGCATAGCAGTGGGAAAAGGGATGCATTTCTGGGAGGGCATGTGCCTAAGGAACAAGCCTTAGCAGTAAAACTAAGCAAGATGTGTTACACCAAGTCCCTTGTAACAGGAAACCTAACATAGTTCTGAAGATGACTGTCCAGGTTCAGAACTAGCGGATTAGGTATTCACCAGGTTTTCCAGCAAGTCAACTATGTTTAAGAGGAATGGTGGGAGGACTGCAACTGCTCCAACCTCCAAGAAATATAAATAGGGATAGGGCATGTTGGTATCAGTGCATTTCACGCTAATTTAGTTCTGTGGGCACAGACCACACCTGCAGCATGATCCCAACGACATGTACTCAAAGAAGTGCACCCAAAGGAATCGACAGTCTGGTTTTGAAATAAAAAACTGGTATCATGTGCATAACTTTTCTCTAATACTTAATAAAAGGTCAGGTTTTGAAATAAAAAACAGGTATCATCTGCATAACTTTTCTCTAATACTTAATAAAATGTTGTTGGTGTTGGCCTTAAAGTTTATATGAAAGCATTGCCAAAATAAATGTGCTTTAAAAAAATAAATGACACAAACAAGTGGGTTTTTTTCCTTTTAAACTCTCAGTATTATATTTTGGGCACACTTACCAAGCATGTCTGTTCTACCTCTGTTCTGCACTATTCCTAGACTGTGATCATGCACTATCTTACTGCCTCGCAGAAGCTGAAACAGACCTGATAGATCTCTGAAACTTCTCATCTGGCATTTCAAGCAAAGCAGCTGCTTGAAAGCTTCACTAGCCACTAAACCGAAGAGCTGCAAGAAAGTGCTTTTCTCAGCCAAGTCTTTATAAAGCTTTTCTTCCTGCACTCATCCCTTATGACAGCACACTTTTATCTGCCCATTGTTACTTGCCATATTCAATCTTTGCCAGACATGGTCTTTTTTGAAGGGCTACAGCACTTGTCTGTGCCCTTTTGGCTCTTTAGTTAGTTATTAAAACTTATTTTCAGTTAGTCTTTATATGGTTATTCATTCTATAAAGTAACATGAGTCAACTAGTTACTAAACATTTACAGCCGTCCCACCGGGATACTGAAAACAAAAGCAGCCCCGGGAAAGGTGCATTCTGCACTGATTCATTCCAAGCAGAACTTGGCAAGAGATGGCAGCAAGTTTCATTTCAGCTGCATTTCTTTTAACTATCTGGGCTTTCAATTACTCTACCCCTTTTTCTATATTCAGCACAACTGCTGAAATAGTCTCCATGTTCCATTTTTACCTTGTCCAAGAACCTTCAACTTCTTGACAAATGTGTGAGCCAAATACTGTGTTTTGTATGAGTGATATCCAGACTGACAGCTCTCTGTTAGCTCTATCTATTCAATATTCTTAACACACTCATGGGCCAAAAAAATTCAGGGGTATCCTTGGTTCCTGTAAGTTTAAGAACTTTTAAGAGGCACAGCAAAAACTAATTTACAAGCTTACACATATTTAAAGCTACAATATGTGCTCATATATTCTGAATTAAAAAAAAAAATCTTGTTATCATAATATTGCAGCATCTTCCAGTGGTTTGTAATAGCTTTCTAATACATTTATCAGCCAATTCCTACTTGTTATCACCACTGAGTATTGGCAATATGCACTGACCACACATTATTCCACTTTCCAGCACAAGCCTTCTCTGTCATAAGCATCATACCAACTCCTTTTAGATGGAGCGTTTCTGTTAACCTCATTGGTGTCATTGTGAAATCTTTACAGGTTAGCAGCTGGTCATGCTTAAGTACAGGCTACAGGAAAATCAGTTGACACAACTCTGAAGCTGTTATTTTGTCTCCAAGAATTTAAGTTGCATGTTAGATCACATCACCCAACAAAGAAAAAGAAAACATACCCTTTGATAAACTAAATTATCAAAACCAAAATAAATAAGTCATTGGCAAGAAATTAGCTGGATCATACAGCAAACCTTATAGGGACTAAGAGTTATATTTTTATCTATCTCTTAACAGTGTATTTGCTCTCTTAGAATTGTGAAAAAAAACCCACATCTCTTTCAACATTGGCAGCATTTAGCATTAATCTAGATTTTTAGAACCACAGAAGAAACACTGTTCCTCATTAAGAAACAATGCATGTAGTATTATTCTGATAAACATAGAGAGAAAGTAGCACAGGAGAATTTCCATGAGCAAAATAAAATTGGCAGTTTCCTTTCAGTAGGAGAGAACATGAAGCTGAGAAGGTATACAAAGTTAGAACCAATGCTAACATGAATGGAGAAATGTTCTTTATACATGAGAAACTTACCAGTACTGTTCGCCCTTGGGAAATAAAGAAGTGGCCAGATACAACAATGGTAAGGATAAGATGGCCTGATTCTTCACTTGATTCAAAAACCTTTAAAAAGACAGACAAAATTAAAACCTAGCCCTGTAAGCACAGAATCTACATTTTCCATTTCTAGTGCAAAATAAGAGGTTTCAAAGGTCCGTGCTAGAAGTCAGGTGTATAATTTACCTCTCAGTAATCCAACTTGCCCTCCACTCCCACAGCCAAGAGGCACATTCAGGAATTTTTTACGAACAATACCTCCATATCCAGATTTAACTACTTTAAACAACTATCTGGACTCTTCCAACTTGATCTATAGTTTTTAATACCACAGGTCAGTGCTGAAGCATGGAGTAAAGTGGGCCACTACTTGTCATCATTGATGTGTTTTCATTAATAATGCATGAAGCAAAATCTCTCCCGATTCCTGCCTTAGCTCTGGACTTACAAAGGCCTCACTTGTCACTACTTGCTCCGCAGCGGCCCCCTAGACCCAGTGGAGCCAGTCAGAGCGAAATGAAGCAGCGCAGCCTCCACCCCAGCCCGGCCTCGCCCCCCACCTTCCACGAGGAGGTGTTTTGCCCTTCATCGTCGCCGTCCTTCGGGGGTAGGAAGCGGCCGTAGC